GGAAAAAACTGAACCGATTTGTAATAGCTCCCCACTTCAAATTAGAAGATTATCGAACAGCAAAAAATCTAATCTCGTACAACTGTTTTATGACTAGCATCGATTTAAAAGATGCATATTTTCTTGTTTCCGTACACAAGTCTCACAGGATGTACTTGAGATTTATTTTTGATGAGAATATGTATGAGTTCACTGCCAATTCTGCATTTCTTGAGATCACAAGGATTGACTTCAATTATTTATCTCGATGATATGCTTTTACTAGGATCTACCAAAGAACAATGCTTACGTAATATTCAAATAACGGTCAGAACTCTCGAATCTCTTGGTTTCATAATATAAACAGGCAAAAAAGTGTTTTAGACCCATGCCGAAAAATTAAATATTTGGGTTTCATTTTTGATAGCTATGAAATGACTATATCACTGACTGATCAGAAGAAAACTAATCTTATATCTCACGTTAGGGAAGTGAATGATACAAAATTTATAAGAATTCAAAAATTTGCCAGACTGATAGGTTCCTTAATAGCAGCCTGCCCTGCTATACCGTACGGTTGACTTTATACTAAAGAAATTTTAAATTCGAACGACAAAAATTAATTGCTTTGGAAAAAATTCGGCGGGAATTTCGATAAGGTTTTTAGAATACCCCCTTCTCTTAAAGATGATTTCGAGTGGTGGCTAAATAATATACCATCAGCGAAAAATTCATTGAGAAATAAGAACTTTGAAAAAGAAATTTTTACAGACGCATCCCTAACAGGGTGGGGTGCAACTTGTAATGGTGAATTCGCCAGAGGGTCTTGGAATGAAACAGAAAAAGGAAAACATATAAACACTTCAGAAATCCATGCAATATCTCATGGTTTGAAATGTTTTGCAAAAAACTGTGATAGTTGCAAAATCCTTTTGAGGGTAGGCAATGAAACTGCCGTGGCTCATATCAACAGAATGGGGGGCACGAAATTTCCGCCATTGAATGATATAACAAAAAATATATGGCAGTGGCGCGAAAAGAGGAAAATTATAATCTTTGCTTCATATATCAAATCAACTGAAAACAAACAAGCCGATAAAGAATCACGACACACGAACATCGAAACTGAATCAATCAATCACTCAACAAAAATATGTACCAAGAATTAGTCCGTCAATTGATCTGTTTGCTTCGAGACAAAATACAAAATGTGAAAACTACATATCTTGGCAGAGAGATCCGGACTCCTCGGCAATAGATGCATTCACTATTTCTTGGTCCGATCTAGTTTTTTATGCATTTCCTTCATTCTCACTTCTGCCTAGAGTCGTCAATAAAATTGAAAGAGATGGGGCTGAAGGAAAAATAGTTTTTCCACTATGGAACACAACCGTGATTTCCGAAACTGAAATCTCTTCTCATATCAGAGGTCATAGAATTCCAACCTAACAGAAACCTTTTAGCAAACCACACCCTCTATAGCAAAACCTCACCCTGGGTGCTGGCAGGTTGTCAGGGAAGCATACATGAGGAGAGATATGGCCGATGTATCACTGGAAATCTCACGAGCCTCGCTGAGTGAAAACACTGAAAAACGGTATAACACCACATTGAAAAAGTGGTGGAATTTTTGTGAAGGCAATGAGGATTCAGTATTGAAATCGGATATAAAGCATATTTCAGAATTCCTCTCAGAAGAATTCAAAAGTGGGGCAAGACATGCCACTCTCAATGCCCACAGATCGGCTCTTAACCTAATTTTGAACTTCGATAATGATCAATCAAAATTGCTTTCCAGAATTCTGAAAGGTGCTTTCAGATCTAGACCTACTTTAACAAGATACAGAGAAACATGGGATCCTCAACCAGTTCTCCTCAAAATATCGGAATGGCAACCCCTACAAGCATTATCACTTCCGCAACTCACAGAAAAGCTTATACTTTTACTAGCTCTCACATCGGCTCACAGGGCACAGACCTTTGCAAAAATCAAACTCACATATAAGAGAGAATGAAGTGGAAATTCACATTTCTGAAATAATTACAACGTCAGGTCCTGGCAGACCCCAACCGATATTATTATTTCCGTACTTTAGATCTCAACCGGAATTATGCACTGCCTCGACACTAATACAATATATGGAAACTACGTCAGAAATTAGAAATAACGAACCAGATTTATTATTAACAATCATATAAAAAACCCCATCACGCTGCATCCGCACAAACAGTATGTTGTTGGATCAGAGTTGGGCTAGAGAAATGTAATTGGACAAACATATCCAAATACAAAGCACACTCAACTAGACACGCGGCCACCTCCGCGGCATACAGGGCTGGTGCGAAAATAGACACTATCAGAGATGCAGCGGGATGGTCTAAAAAATCAGAAACTTTTGCGAAGTTCTTTAATAGACCGCTCGAAAGAAAAACACCTTTGATAAATCATATTTTGATTAATGAAAAGTCCCATATTTAATGAATTATTATATGTATAATACATACTTATAATTAATAAGAATTATTACATGTTATATATTGTTTATCTTATATTGAATCAATTATTATCAATGATTCAAAATCGTATTTTTGATAGCCCTTGTCTTTATACGTTATATTGAAAAAAATATTGCAACAAACCCACGCCAAGGCTTTTCATTATTGAACGCCTTGGTAAAACAAATCGCCTCAACTTTAAACATCTACAGAGTGATCTAATTAGGACGCTGCTACGTTGTATAATTTGAGATTAAACGACTTACCTGTAAGGAAGTTCAATCCTCAATTATACTAGTAGCTGCGTCCTAATTAGATCACGTCCCGCCTTCCCCGGGAAACACCTTAATAACACCCCATCAAGTACTTGGCGATCTGTCATTCTAACCTTGCTAGAAAATAATGAGTTGGACGATAGCCGTTGGCCACGCCGTCACCTGTGGGAGTCGGTGACAGTGTATTGTAGGTATACAGGGAGATTTTGCTTCGAACATAGCGCATTTTTGGTATAGTTGGAAACAATACTACAGAGTGATCTAATTAGGACGCAGCTACTAGTATAATTGAGGATTGAACTTCCTTACAGGTAAGTCGTTTAATCTCAAAAAATATTCAAAAACAAAGTGAAAAAATGGCTACTGGAAAGCTAAAGATCCTTCCTCCAAGATTTCGTTAATTAATTCTATATATCTTTCTTTTGTCAAGTATTTCTGAATATCTTTCAAATTGTCCCATATATATGCGGATATATTGATATATATATATAAATATATATATTTATATGTATGTATATACTTGAACACTATGCAGTACACTATTCGTACATTTATTATGACACCATTTTCACTTGTTGTTTTGTGCTTATATGAACTAAAAAAATGTTTGTGTTAGTCTGTCCCCCCTACCCAACTATAATATATCCACCCAATTTATTCCATATATTATAATTGTATTTTTATCTTTGTTAGTCATTAAAATAATTCGAACTTATTATCCTTTATGTAATATACAGGGTGGCCTACGGTAGATGGTACCTTAGACGTATACGGAAAACGGTACATTGGATTATCCTGAAAATCTGGTTACTCTAATAAGCGTTTGTGATCTAACGATTCAAAATATTTTCAGCGAAGCAGTATTGCCACTTTTACCAAAAAGTAGCATCATCTTTGTTATTTCAAATGGAACACCCTGTATTTTATTGCGTTTTTAGATTCTTCTCGAAGAGCTGATTTCATCAATGCATCACACTTGGGGCCTAGCAGGAATTATTACAGACATATAGGGTGTTCAAAATCGAGATTTTTCAACTTTAGGATTTTTTTGTGTCGAAACTATTCATCATTGGTCAAAACGGCTTACATGTCCCGATATTAACTTTTGGTAAACTATCTACCGACATTTAATTGGAAAAAATACAGGATGGTCCAAGATTCAGAATTTTTATCACCCTGTATCTGTTCCAATTAAATGTCAGTAGATAGTGAATCAAAAGTTAAGATAGGGACATGTAAGCCGTTTTGATCGATAATGAATAGTTTCGACACAAAAAATTCCTGAAATTGGAAAATCTCGATTTTGATCACCCTATATCTCTGTAATAATTCCTGCTAGACCCCAAGTGTGATACATTGATGAAATCAGCTCTTCGGGAAGAATCTAAAAACGCAATGAAATACAGGGTGTTCCATTTGAAATAACAAAGATGATGCTACTTTTTGGTAAAAGTGGCAACGCTGCATCGCTGAAAATATTTTGAATCGTTAGATCACAAACGCTTATTAGAGTAACCAAATTTTCAGGATAATTCAATGTAGCGTTTTCCGTATACGTCTAAGGTACCATCGATCGTGGGCCACCCTGTATTTTAGAATTAGTATTCACATCACCTGCCCTTGTTTATTTATATTTTCTAAATGTACCTAAACCTTATCTATATGTACATTCTATAAATAAACTTTATTATTATTACTATTATTATTATTATTATTATCACTAGAGTGATAATTTTTTAGGAGGAGTAGCTATTGTATAGAGCACATTGTATAAAACGACTATCTCATGTTGACATGAATATGAATAATAATAGTAATATAATATACTTGAAACTTGAACATATTAGAGTGTCATGACAAATCTAATCTAATCTAAGGTAAAATTTAACCTTGGAAGTATGCAAAATAATCATAAGTATGTCATTTGTTTGGAATAATTTATTCTCACATTTGTACATGGTACATGGTGTTGCTATTTGTATATATTAATCATGTCGTTTTTCTATCCATATTTTACCATATTGATTGACTCACCCTGTATCGTTTGAAAATATTCCAATTGTTCTGCTAAATTACATCTTTTGATCTGGGATGTGGATAATTTGAGTAAACTTGCCATAAAAAAATATTTAACACTCAGGACCACACATCATACCTTCATGTTTATCGCATCATGAAACAATAATCGTTGAGTAAATAATAGTGCAATAATAATTGTAGACTTATAGATCATTGAAAAAAAAAATTGTTATGAAATCAAACAGCATGAGGTCACCGAGGAAATATGACTTGGAAAATAGCAACCAGAAGGAAAAACACTGGTATCAAATCATGACAATAACTGTGGGTAAGTTTGATTTTATATTTTTCCAATATTCATAATAAAAATAATCTTTTTTTCTGTGACGGGAAAAAGTTTGGCATTTCATCTCTGTTGGCAGGTTATGAAATGTCACTTTTCATAAATTACCTTTTTCCCGTGGGATACACTGTTGGTGGCTTTTGTTGTGCTCCGAAAAATGAGTCAATAATACCGTCTCGGAGAAAGAACTGCAAGTCCTTTTATCTTCCATTCCACTTCGCGGTTACGTATATTACTATAAACAACCACTAAATTCGCAATTTTTTGAAATCAAATAACAGAATTAGACTGACAGAAGTGACATCAGATATTTGATTACTTCAAAAGAATGATAAATGCCTACATCGCAGGTGTCCCTACTGTTAAAAACTTGAAATTTCACGTCGATAATTTTCAGATTTCAAAATAATGTAATATCTTCTCAATATTGATGCGTCCTTTCTTCTGTCACAGAAAAAAATAGTGTATTAAACACGGGAAAAATATTAGATCTTAGCTCACGGTTTCTTGTCTCCCTCCGATAAGCGTCAGGAGACAACATAACCTGGAGCTAAAATCTACTACTTTTTGCCCTTGTATAATAAATAACTATTTTTCTGTGACAGGAAAAAAGTCTGGCATTCCATCTCTGTTGGCAGGTTATAAAATGTCACTTTTCATAAACTACTTTTTTCCCGTGGGAAAAAAGTGATTATCTTTTTCCCGGATATATATCACATATATACAGTATGATGCAAATGTATGGAATAAATTCATTATTTCAGAAATGGGCGACATTTGAAAAAATTCCAAAAACACGTGAGTTTTCATTTTTGAAGTCCCATCTCATGATATTCATATGAGAGATGTTATGTCATCGATGTTAAAGTAATGACGTGATGGACGATTTTTTCAAATACAAACAGGGGTCATGTGACACCTCGTTTGAAAGGTCTACTGATAGTCTATTCAACAGTCAGAATTTTGTATAAGAAGATTGGAATTAAAATGGAATATCATTCGAGTAACTGAATCTTGCAGAGGTCTGCTACTGAGAATTGAACATCGAAGGGTCGTCTAGTTTAAAAAATACATCAATCAAAAAAGTTCTGAACTCTAGTTTTTGGATTTTTTCAGAAGACGTCTTGTTTTGAATTGAATTTATTCCATACATTTGCATCATTTGTATACACTGTTCATGGCTTTTGTTGTGCTATAGTTTCGAAAAATGAGTCAATAATACCGTCTCCGAGAAAGAACTGCAAGTCCTTTTATCTTCCAGTCGACTTCGCGGTTACGTATATTACTAAACAACCACTTAATTCGCAATTTTTTGAAATCAAATCACAGAATTAGACTAAGCGAAGTGACATCAGATATTTGATTACTTCAAAAGAATGATAAAGATCCTACAAAGCAGGTATCCTTACTGTTAAAAACTTAAAATTCCACGTCGATAATTTTCATATTTCAAAATAATGTAATATCTTCTCAATAGTGATTCGTCCTTTCTTCTGTCACAGAAAAAAATAGTGTATTAAACACGGGAAATAATTATATTTTAGCTCACGGTTTCTTGTCTCCCTCCGATAAGCGTCAAGAGACAACACAACCTGGAGCTAAAATCTACTACTTTTTTCCCTTGTATAAATAACTATTTTTGACGGGAAAAAAGTTTGGCATTCCATCTCTGTTGGCAGGTTATGAAATGTCACTTTTCATAAATTACTTTTTTCCCGTGGAAAAATGTGAGTATCTTTTTCTCGGATATATATCACATATATATACACTGTTCATGGCTTTTGTTGTGTTATAGTTCCGAAAACTGAGTCAATAATACCGTCTCCGAGAAAGAACTGCAAGTCCTTTTATCTTCCAGTCGACTTCGCGGTTACGTATTTTACTAAACAACCACTAAATCCGCAATTTTTTGAAATCAAATCACAGAATTAGACTGACAGATATTTGATTACTTCAAAAGAATGATAAAGATGCCTACAACGTAGGTATCCCTACTGTAAAAACTTGAAATACCACGTCGATAATTTTCATATTTCGAAATAATGTAATATCTTCTCAATATTGATTCGTCCTTTCTTTTGTCACAGAAAAAAATAGTGTATTAAACACGGGAAAATTATTAGATTTTAGCTGCAGGTTATGTTGTCTCCCTCCGCTACGCGTCGGGAAAAAAAACCGTATAATGAATAACTATTTCTGAAATCAACTCAAAAGTCGTCCATTTTTGTCTCAACATTAGCTCTTGGAGTTGAAGTTTCTCTTACAGAACAAAATGATTAGTATTTATGTTGCTAGGCAACACTTTCAGTGTCTAGGAGCTAAAGTTGAAGTTAACTCCTAGGAACTAAAAATGTGTCGGATGACAGCTGATATGATAGCTGCTTTGACACTGAAATGCTCAAGTGACTCGAAATAGTGGTAACTCTACATATATTTCATTAATTGGAAATCAATTATTTTGATTGCAGAAAAAATAACATGTTCCATTCGGATCAATAGTGACTTTGTTTGACTCGTAAATATCGCTTGTCAAACAAAGTGTCACTTTTGATCCTAATAGAACAATGTACTATTTTCTACGACTAACACAAAATTGCTCTTTTTTACTGTTTTTGATGAATCAATGAGTTACTTTGTATGTCATTAATTCTATTTCCGTATCTGATGTCACAATGACTTCATTGTGTTATTCCAGGGTGTCCCGAACTCGAATTTATTGAAGAAGCCACTGGCGTGAACAAAACTTCGCTATCTCTCATCGTTTGGCCGCCAGAGGGCTTTTCTCGAATTACGTCGATTTCTTCAATGCCCCATGACTTTATTATTGATAAAGATAATCAATTTTGGTAAAAACTTTCTTAAAGCACTTTTATTCGTAGAATACATTGCAATAGGCAGTTTTTTCACAGGGCGTTTAGATTTTTGTGCACCACCCCAAACAATATTTTTTTAAATGGACCACCCTATATATTATGACATTTTTGAAAAGCTCGCAAAATTTCCTGAAGTTTGATTCAGCACTTGTCATGTTTATCTCGGAAACTATCTGCAACATTACGATTTGAAAAATAAAATATTCGAAAACGAAGCAAGTGAGGACAAATGTTCATATGAACTTCATTTCCTAAACTATCACAAGGAATCACCCCTTGAATTTTTTCGGTGTTATTTAGATACACCCTGTATAAATGTTCACCGTATATCTACTAATTGTCTTAAATGTTAACAATTTTGATCATAGCCACTAATATAGACCTGTGATGTCGCTTTTTGCTGATGATACGGCAGTTCTTGCATATTCGACAAATTTCGAGCAAGCAGCTATGAACTTCCAAAGCGCGCTGAATTCTCTTCAGGAGTACTTCCTAAGATGGAAGATCAAATTGAATCCTGCAAAAACACAATTGGTCGCACTCGGAAGGGAGCGGAGGCCTCCGAGAACCAGAATAGTCCTGGATGGTCATGAGTTAGAGTGGTCTTCACAAGTTAAATACTTAGGTGTGTGCATTGACAAAAAGTTCACCTGGGCTCAGCACATTGACCAGCAAGTTTCAAAAGCTAAACGAGCCATTGTAGCCCTGTATCCATTTCTAAACAGACGAAGTGAATTGAGTTTGAGACAAAAATTGAATATTTACATCATGGCTATCAGGTCAATTTTACTATATCCCTCGGTAGTCTGGGGCCACACAGCTAAATCTCCTATCACCAGATTACAAACATTGCCAAACAAAATCTCGAGAATGGTGACAGGATCTCCTTGGTATGTTCGGAATAACCAGATCGCCAGGGATCTGAAACTCCCTTCAATCGTGTCAGTCATTAGAGAACGAAACATCGAGACTTTCGAAGAAGCTGAGGTTCATGAGAATCAGCTTCTCCGAAATGCAGTTGATTATGATCCAGGTGATCAATCAAAGTTCAAGAGATCGAGATTGTCCATAAACTAGAGAGAATATCGACATTATGACCAAATTTACTATTCTCAAGCTTTTGATATTTATTTATTCCGTTCGATCTTTTTCAATTCTCAGAATGTATTTCTGAAACTTATTTGGGGCAGAAGGGCTGTTCGCATCAAACTTCAATACCGTTTTCATTTTGTTTCATAATAGATATCAGGATAAGAGGGACTCTTTCCTGGTCTGAATCAAATAAGAAAGATCCAATACTAATATAAAAATCTGTCCTTGAATGAAATGAATGATCTCTTAGTGCACTCATAACATTGTTCTAGTAACTATATTCGAGATAAATGACATAAACAACCGTAATTATTTTTCCTACGCGTTATAAGTAGGATTTTTTGGCAAGCCGTGAGAAAATCAAAATTTTTTTAGTAGCTGTATTCTAGTGCATTATCTTTTGCTCTTTGATCGCAATGAGAGCTCACATTATTTATTTTCCACCACATTGCGCTACTGAAACGTGAGGTCAGAGTTGGTAGAACTGATAAATGTAAGAATTGGGCGTTGAGTTCCACAAGAGAGTAAAAAAACGTCAGTCTGCTCAAGTCTTTCCATAATTCGAGGTTTTCAATTTGTCCAAATTTTCTACATAATTTTGCGAATATTGTTTACTTTGACATTGACCTCTTGTTTTAGTAACGCCAACTCTGGCGAGACTGACAATGTTACCACTTATTCCTGATATTTGTATTCCAGCTTGAAACTTAAATGAAAATCCTACTTTGTTCAATTATAAATAAATGTAATATCGTCGACATTGCCACAAAATTCTAAAGATACGTCAGCACGGATCCACAAACACCGACACCCCTCTTTTCACCAAATCGACATTGAAATCAACAACAAATCATAAAAGAATCGTTGGTCTAAACTGTATTTGCGTGCGTAAAAAGTACCTACGCACTTTGTGCACTTCTTAGGAAAACAATTAACTTTATCCATATTTCGCTTTGATTCCAGTATCTTTGGTACCATTAACCAACGGTCTCCAACTGGCATGGACGTCACCATTCCTGGTAAAAATCACCCAAGACAAGGAAAACTACGACATAACGGAAAACGAGACATCATATTTCACCAGCATACAACCGGCAGCGATGCTCCTGACCAGTATCATCCTCTTCAACCTGAGCGATCTCTTGGGGCGAAAAACTACCATGCTGGTGATAGCAGTACCGCAGGTACTGGCATGGGTGCTAGCAGCATTGGCAACTGACGTATACCTGTTCTACGCCATGAAAGTCTGCGCGGGAATAGCTGTGGGAATGGGATTTGCCTCTGTTCCCATGTACATCGGAGAAATCTCATCCCCATCAGTCAGAGGCACCTGGGGATGTCTGTTCTCCTCAGGCGCTTACCTAGGCCAGTTTCTGATCAACCTAGTCGGCAACCTTTGCAGCGTTAAAGTTACGTCATACATATTCGTCACAGTGCCTATTCTATTTTTCTTCTTTCTGATCTTCCTACCTGAATCTCCCTATTTTCTCGTTATGAAAGGGAAACATGATGAGGCTAGAGCTGCTCTGAAGGTGTTTACCAGGAAAGTTGATGTAGAAGCGGAGCTTTCAATATTGAGAACTGATGTGGAGAGACAGATATCGGAAACAGGGACGTGGATGGATTTGTTCAGAATCGAAAGTAACAGGAAGGCTCTTGTGGCTGCAGTTTTTCTAGCAGTTTCGCAATCCTTTGGAGGTTTGACAGCTTTCATAGTGTATGTTCAGTTCTTTTTTGATAAAGCGGGGGGTTATATCAGCGCAGAATTGTCTGCCACTTTCTATATGGGATTGAGTTTCGTTCTCAATCTACTAGTGATTTTATTTGTCATCGACAGAATGGAAAGGAAAAAATGTTACATCGTATCTATGATGCCCTGTTCGATAGTCCTTATGCTAATGGCAATCTATTTATATATAGATGAATTCGAAACTCATATAGACGTGTCATTTCTCAACTGGGTACCTTTAGCGGGAATGATCATATTCCAAATATTTGCATCATTTGGGATGGCAATAATTCCTACTTTGATGCTAGGGGAACTTTTTTCGGCTAGTGTTAAAACGAAAGCAACTACTGTTGTTATGATTTGTTTCGGTATATCTGTAACTCTAGCGGACTACTTGTTCTATGTTCTTTATCGAGTTTCCGGAATATATGCTCCTATTTTGTTGTTCGGCTGCTGTAATGCAATATCCACTATTCTTTCGTTCTTTTTGATACCCGAAACCAGAGGAAAGAGTCTAGAGGAGATTCAGCAAGCTTTGAAAGGAGCAATGATCAAAAATTAATTATGAGGTGAATTTCGAAATTTGTTGGTACTAAACATAAGTATCTGTCACATGGGGAAGTCTGTTCTTCCTAGGAGCTTAGTTGGAACAGTTCATGATCAACCTAGTCGGTAACCTTTGTAACGTTAAAGTTACGTCATACATCTTCATAACAATTCCTGTATAGTATTTTTCCCAATACTGATCTTCCTACCTTAATCTCCCCATTTCCTCGTTGTGATAGGGAAATATGATGAAGCTAGAGCTGCTCTGAAGGTGTCAGGAAAGTTGATGTAGAAGCGGAGCTTTCAATATTGAGAACTGATGTAGAGAGACAGATATCGGAAACAGGGACCTGGATAGATTTGTTCAGAATCGAAAGTAACAGGAAGGCTCTTGTGGCTGCAGTTTTCCTAGTAGTTTTGCAATCCTTTGGAGATTTGACAGCTTTCATAGTGTATGTTCAGTTTTTTTTCCAGGAAAAATATGAATAGTTAGTGAATTGAGCGTCCTGATTCCGAATCTGAAGTGATTTTCGACCTATTTTGACTCCTAATATCATTTCCCAGAAATTGGGGGTGGTTGAGGTGGTTCCATGGCTGTTAGCGAGCAGTATATATCACTGAAAATTACCATAGAGATGGTCATAGAGTGCATTTTTGGTGTATCTCGCTCCAGCAAATTTCAGGATCCTTACCCAACGATTAAGTAAGATACAGAGGTGTGTTTCCATTAGAAGTGGATCACACTGTATATAGAAGAATTCGAAACTCACATAGACGTGTCATTTCTCAACTGGATACCTTTAATAGGAATGATCATATTCCAGATATTTGCATCATTTGGTATGGCAATAATTCCTACTCTGATGCTAGGGGAACTTTTTTCGGCAAGTGTCAAAACGAAAACAACTACTATTGGTATGATTTTTTCCGGTATATCCGTAACACTAGCTGACTAATTGTTCTATGTTCTTAATCGAGTTTCCGGAATGCATGCTCCCAGTTTGTTGTTTGGCTGCTGTAATGCAATTTCCACTATTCTTTCGTTCTTATTGATACCCGAATCCAGAGGAAAGAGTCTATATAGAGGATTTCAGCAAGCTTTCAAAGGATTACCTTATAATCAAAATTTTAACATGAGGTGAATTCCGATTTGGAAACCCGCGAATGAAAACGAAGTGTTCATTTTCTTATGAAAAGTTATTTTCGAAAGTATGTTGTTACGAACATAAGAGTCATAACATAAGAAAGTATGCATATTTCATTAAGGTACCTTCTAATAAATAGGCATGTTGAGCGTGTAGTAGATAGGTCTGACTAGGAATAGTGGTATGAGCAGAAAGTATCTGTGTTGCCAAATGTATTTTTTTTTGTAATTTTTTCAGGAGGGATTTGTTTTTCATTTTATTTATAAAGGAATATATTTTCAGTCACTTGTTTTCCTACTATATCATCAATCCCGATGATCCACCAATACAATCAATATTGAAAAAATAACTTATTAGTGGATGTAAAATAATTGCATAATTCAGGAGACAGACTCCCAGAGACTTCAAGATGTTTTCATTATGATTCACTCAAAAACGCAGTTAAAGAAACTGTTGAAATTCATTTGAAAAAAAAACTATATGAAATTTTAAATTCTTGAAACTGGTATATTCCACCACAGGATTTGAATAATTTCCAATGATGTTGACGAAACGAACATGTAGAAGAATGGAATACTGTCAAAAACACAAGATTCCTTGAGTAACCCGGTAAGTATTTGAACAATGGTTGGATACAGCAAGATGATGGAGACACAATTATCAGATTATCAGAATACTCCTTCAGTTACGAACTTGACTACGAACAAATCTTTTATATATGTTTTTTTTATGAAAATAGCCAAAAGTATACTGGCAAAAAACCCTTTGAAGGCGATACAATTATATCAAGGGAGGAATGGTATCCATTTCGTCCCGCGTGTGAAGTTTGATGCACGACGCGTAGAGGAGGGCATTAAACCGTTACCACCGATACAACAAGGCCTGCATGCTCCGTGGGTGACGTCACTTAGTGAGGCCTAACCATCGGCTCGAAACGACAAGCGCTTATAGCGCTATAAGGCGACCGCGTATTTCGATTTTGGTTTTGGATCATCATTGAGCCGATTTTGCTGTTTTTTGAAGGGCTTCCGGTTAAAAAAGGATGCCAGTCGTCAACTGAGCCCTTCTTTGCACCCCATTCGATTTTATTATGGAAAAACGAAGTTTCAAAGCGAAAACCAGGATAAAACACAAATATCCACCTACAGCAACCCATTCGAATTAAATATATTGGCAAACATTGTGGTGAAGGTAAACTTCACACCTACTTATACAGGACCCGCAGAACATAAACTTATCGTGAGATTGATCGAAAGAAAATTGTGGAAAATGTATTTTATTTTGATTGACATGCCGTTTATTACAATTACCTATATTTATCTTGGAGAATTCCTATTACCTGAAAAAATAACCAATGAGTGTTTTCAATTTTCTGCTGTTGGATTTTTCACCCAAGTGGATCGTTACACTTGAAACCGTAATTTTTAAGGGTAAAACTGCATTTATCATGCGATGGTTTTTTTTTTGAAAATTTTTTTCGGTACTCACGTATTTTCTTTCTGATAAACCGAATTTTATAATGAAAATGTGAACAAACCACTATTTATTGAGATATTTCAAGAAAAAGTTCGAAATTTCGCCTTCTTTCTCCCCTTGTGTTGGGGGCATTTGAAGCTACTTGCTCTTATTTTGTCATTGGGCACTTTATATACTCATGATGTACTTCGATGGCACATTTTTATATAGAAAATTCAAGGAAATTCAATTCAAGGAAATATGATTTTTATGGCGAGTTTTTCATATTTTGTGAACAAGCATTCCAGATGGCGACCATTTAATCAATAGTCAATCAAAATACGAGATGTCAAATGTCAATAGATTGCTTTCGAATGACATTACACACGCCATTATTTTGAATGATATTCTTCCTTCTTTTCACTAAATATGGATTAATCTCAAGAATATCATATTTATAGTTGAATTATATATAAATTGTCCAATATGATGAAAAAAGAAGGGAAATTTGTTCTAAATGCCATCCAGAAGACAGGTGAAAAAGAAGGTGAAATTTGGAACTTTTTGGTCAAATATCTTCATAATAAATATCACGATAAATGCAGTTTTACCTTTCCAAGTAGAGTGTTTGTAGTTCATGTTAATATGATAGTTGCAATTTGATCATTGGAATGAATTCTGCATTCGTTGCCGTATTTGAGAATGAGAATTAAAAATGCCAGTTTATTATGAACATTCAAGAAAATTTTCTCGAATTCAGAGATGATTTTGTTGACTATAATATACGAATACAAAACTAACTGCACAATCAAAGCTTTTCTATTTTTCCTCTACTTATACTTTTTATGAGAGAGTAATTGTCTTCTATTATTAATTCATCATTATAAATTGAGCTCTGTTTACTACTGAACTTAGATGGAGTAAAGTCCTAGCGGTGAATTGCATATACCCACATTTTCGATAGCTCCTCGTCCAACGGAAAACTAAAAGCATGAACTTTTGAACCACCCACATAATTCCCCCGACAAAAGGGAACACAACACTTGAAAGGCATTGTTATTTCGCCGATCACAACACAAAATTTTTCACAAAACAGTAATTTTTCTGCCAATTATTTTGATGAATAAACAACAAAAGAATTCGGGAACGTTTTAAAAACATACGTGAATCACCGATGAATTAACACGAACTGACGCGTTAGTCGACAAGCGATAAAATAAAACACTGGCCTCTCTTGGTGACGTCACGAGCTGTTTACGTCAGAGTCTGCTGGCCTTGTTGTATCGGTGGTAACGATTAAACACACATGGGAGGAAATGAACCTCTGCTCCCATGACATATAGGTATATCATTTCTTCAACCAACGTATTTTTTTTAATGCATCATTCTTGAAATTGTGATTCAGGCGGTCTAATCTCTCGATCCAAATCATCATGCATTACAAACGTATAGTATGCCATGGACACTTGATGGCATTTGAACGAAAGTCAATTTGATACTTCTGTCAACATGAATATTTGGATCTGTGTAAGGCCTTTAACACTGTAAATCATAATATTTTATTGACTAAATTATCATCAATAGATGTCAGAGGCAAAATTCATGATTGGTTTCAGAATTATTTGAAGAATAGGAAACAGTATGTTGATGTGAATAATACTTGTAGTTCCTTGATGAATATTACATGTGGTGTGCCGCAAGGGTCAGTTTTGGGGCCAATTTTCTTATATTAACTCAATATCTACTTTAAAATTGAAAGGAAAACTAAAATTATTTGCAGATGATACAACAATAATCTATACTTCAAAAGATTTCAACGATATCAATAATGATATTAAAAATGATTTGAAACAAATATCATCTTGGCTAACGACCAATAAGTTGACTCTTAATTATAGTAAATCTACGTATATGTACATATCAAAAAGAACAACGGATATATTGAATAATACACCCCAATATGTTTCAATAACAAATACATTGAATATACAAATGTAACAAAATTTTCAGGTCTTTACATCGATGAACAATTATCGTGGACTCTACATATAGATCAATTGAGGAAAAAATTTAATCATATTGCTGGTATTATATATAAAATTCGAAATTTCATTCCTGTTAATTACCTAAAGAGTATTAATTTCTGTCTTTTCTATTCAAATATACAATATCTAATATCTATTTGGGGAAGTACACGGAAAAAAAGGAATTGTAGAATCAAGCAAAATTTAATTGAATGGAGCAAATAAAAGTGTCATATATGCACGACAAAATATAATATTGAAATGAGTAAATCTATATATATCTTGTTTCAGAGCGAATTTGAAGTTTGAATCAAGTAAATATGTCTTGCATGAACTCTGGATCTTCTTCAATCAAGCACATCCATGAATTGTTTATGAAGAGATATTGAATT